AATTTCCCTACAACCAACGAACGCTATAAAACCATAACGCCCTCCAACTTCCCCTGTCCACCACCAGAAACCGATCAAAAGTATACCACTCCAGAGACCAGTGAGAAATATAGAAATATTTTCCGATAAAATTGGCGCTTCTTTTATGATGATCAAACTGTATGATCCGGGACAGGCCGCTGGGGAACTCATACCTGAAAAACGAAAAATCACGGAAAAAAATTATCATTCATAGCTCACCAACAAATGAACCCGTCCATATGAAAAACATGAGAGGGTTTGAAGTGGGAGGGAGGAAAACACCAGCAGCTAAGGAAACCATAGACGATGCCACTGTAGGAGATAGATGCTTGTTATAGTGATGATGCAACCACAGAGTGAGTGACTGAAAAATGTGAAACATGCATCACTAAAACGGCGGAGCGAAGCTATCTTACACTGGCTGATGCACAAGCGAGGACGTAGCAAAGCGTCACCACCGTTGAGACGATGATGTTCCCATCACCACGCGAGCGAAACCAAAAATCAACCCTGAGGGAAATTGTGGAAAAACTGGAAATGAAAACTCGGGAAATTTTTTTACCAGGAATTTACACCATGTTCTGGGTCAAGGCTTGTAGACGTCCATGTGCCGTCACCAACAAGGACGATGAATAAAGCACTCGCGTGACCAGCGACGTATGCCATCATTCCTGAGATTCAGTGGGGAAAAATATGCACATGGCCAATATGAAAATTTTGGGAAAATTTCGCGAAATTTTTGATTGGTTTCTGTATACTTCTACCCGAACTCGCACATAAACTCCCATAACCAGTGAGGAAACTCCCGAGCTCAGCTGAGGAGAGCACGAGCATCTATACCGACACAGCTGAGAACTCTCATCAAGTCGTGAACACGTATTCTGATCATCATACCCAATTTTCCTCCTATTCCGTGCAATACATTACGGAGAGAGAACACCACTATAACGTAAAAAAGGCACACCAAGGGTTCCCATTCGGCAGTGAAAGCCTGAGCAACGAAGACTCCAAAAAAATACAAGTCTTCTGCTTTACTTGATTAGTAGACGCTGACACAAAACTCGCTCCATAGGCTATTTCTCGGTAGGGGGAGGGTAGAGCTAGACCAGCTAAAATCTGACGGTAATAGTTTGCATTGAAATCAGCAGTGTGGAAAAATATGCATGTGTTGGCGACAATGTGAAAATTCTGAGTAAATTTTTGGGAACACTTCTAACCGAATTCCATTAGGTTTATAATTAGTGAGGAGGCTCCCCAAGCTCAGCTGAGGAAAGCGATTACATATATTCATACTCCAACACTGTATAGGCAACTCCTGAGCTCAGCAGCTGAGGAAAGCGATTACACATATTCATACTCCAACACTACTGTAGCGGTTGACTTACTCCTATTATGCTGGCTGAAGCAACAGTAGTGATACCATACACGGCTTGGGCGACGTATTTGGCGAGGAAAATAGACGCGATAGAAACGCTGTAGCTGATGGCGATGACGATTATGTTATCGACGACTGTTGAAGAGTTGATACCACCAAAACATCGACATAATGATTTGAATGGCATTAACTGTAGAGGTTCTCCTTGGCACCACCGTGTAAAAACGACACGAAATCGGACTATATATCTCAAAACGCTGGGATCGTAACGACGCAGTGCGGGAAAATATGCACCTGGTTAACCGCATGTTTTGGTGACAATCTGAGAACTCTGAGAAAACTTTGGGAGATTCTCATTGATCTCTGTACACTTCTACCCGAATTCGTAGTCACACTTGTACGATTAGCTTTGGAACTGCCCGAGCCCAGCTGAGGGAACCGAACACATACTCATGCTCCAGCACTGTATAGGAAACTCCTGAGCTCAGCAGCTGAGGAAAGCGATTACATATATTCATACTCCAGCACTGTATAGGAAACTCCTGAGCTCAGCAGCTGAGGAAAGCGATTACATATATTCATACTCCAACACTGTACACCCCTCCACATATTCTTAGCATATCCGGTTTTTCGACTCGTGCACAGCCACCACAACGAGTATCATCTTGCGGGTCAGGGAGGTATGTACTTATGCTTTACCTGATATGACCTCCAAGTTTCAGGGCCTAACTCTTCGTAGTTAGTGAGAAGTCGAAGACCGGTAAAACGTTTTCTCCACATATTCTTAGCATACACGTGTTAAAATTGCGCCTCAAAATACCAACTTTTACTCGGG